ATTCTCCTCAACACCTTACAGTACATGCATGTAAATGTCAACAGCATAAATTCAATGGCTACTATCATCACATTTTTGCCCCTTGATTTTATGAATTGCATACATTACTCCCACAATGTACCAGAATTTTGTTTTGAGGGTTAGCTCAAATCCATCTTCATCTCTGAGGTGCAAATATTCTAAAAACAACCAACTGACACTGAAAATCTTAAATTACTGTGGAACCTTGTTGATCTGGTCACCAACAGGCCACAAAAATCTGACTGTATAATTAATAAATAAGAAAATGACCGACTGAGCTTTTGTTTGAGCCAGATTAAAGTGGACATTGATAATAATGAGTTGGCTATGTTAATGAGGTGGCGGCTGTAAGGTGAGGTTCCACTGTAGTGACAAAGATGATACTCTCAAACACCTGTACCCATAAAGAGTTTGAAAAGCATAGTTTCCATAATCAGTTGGAAGAGGTAGAGGGAATGTGGCAATAAAATAGCATGGCTCTTAGGGTGCATTTGTATGGTCCTGTGTACCTTAGAGACATTCCTTCTTATCATTCCTTTGCAAAATTCATCTAATTGTTTACATGAGGATCACGAACCAAACTCAGGGGCGAGACAATTCAGGTGCGAGAGTTGACTCACCTTGGCAAGTAAAGTAACCCTGGCAGGCAGGACAACTTTTCTTTATATAAACACTTTGGATTGCCTGACTGGGACAACTCTCAACATGGCGAGTGTCATGTAATGCCTAGATTTCAGATTTAAAGTAGTCATGTGTATTAAATAAGAAACAATTAACTCGGCAAAACCAACTATGATCAATCATGACTGAGGGAAACTCAAACAAAGAGGGATATTTGCACTTTTGATCAATCAATAAGGGTTATGAATAATATCTATTGTGCAGGGTCAACTTTGATTAGGCCTACAGTGACAACATTTTCACATATAAACACTTGATAAAGTTACCTCAGGAGGAGGGTTGTCTCGGGTACCCGAGATCAAATAAATGGATCCTTACTGCCTTGTTTTGGTGTGTTGTCTCAAAGACCACCCCCACGATGTTTAAAGGGGGAGGTCCCTAAACAGGACCTTATCTTAGGGCTTCAATGGCATTACTGATTCCTTCTGATGGCTTGGATTTGAATCGATTTCACTTTTAAAGAGGAATAGAACTTAAAAATCGTCCTCGAATTTATAAACTGTTCCTTAAGCTTCCAGCGAGACATAAGTTTAAATTAGCTTTCATGTAATCAAGATTTTACTGGGCGTTTTAAAAGCACCGACCGACCGCGAAAGAGACCGATGATCCCAAAGTAACAATATATATGTGTGTACTGTATCTTACTGAAAACAACAATCTTCAACGAGGGATGTAGGAATATGGGATACTGACCTTCAGCATGCGATCATAAGCTTGTCTCTTCTGCCATACGTATACACGTGAGCCAAGGGCAACAAAAGCTCTGATGACAGCGACTTTCGGAACTAAACGGCTTCTGGTAATTATGTTCTCGTGGAACGCAATGCAAACTATGGCCAACAATACTTCATCCAGATTGTTGTTAACATTATAGGCTTTTGCACTTAGTGTTATCACTAAATCACGAACAGCTAGAACCAAAAGTCGTAACAACACCAGTTTTGCAAATGTGTAAAATCCGCTATACGATGACAGAAGGCTCTCCGTTATTTTCCTTCAAAACAATAATAAACTTCTCTCTTTTCCCGAAAGTTTCGCTTAAAAAGTCGAAGTAATGTGCCTGAAACATCTTTCCATCCTCAACATAAAACGAAACGAAACTGATGGTTTACAAGGGAAATCGTCAGTAATCGAGACGCTTTTTTTTTCGCTTTATGACGTCAATGGTTGCCAACTTCTGGGGCGCATTCCTGCTGATGTGCGGCCGATGTGCGGTAGCCTACGACGACTGCTGTCTACTGACGGTCGGCTAATTTAGCCTTACGTCACATGGAAAACTGTCACCCGCATTCATCTGATTGGCTAAGAAGTTATATCGGACAAAAGGATAGTGACCCTAATTTTAGTAACATACTCAATTCTACAATCCAAAGCCCAAACAAGTACACGGACCAGTAAAATATGTAAATTAATTCGTGTCGTCGTCTCTGATTAGCTAAAAGCTATATCGAACAAAAGACTAGTGACCCCCTAACCCTAACCTTCAACAGATTGTAAATTTAGCATTTTACTAA